CCCGGGGCACCATGCTGGCGTCCCTGGGCGCCATCTGGCTCCTGTCGGGGCTCCTGGCCGTGCCCACGCTCCTGTTCCGCACCACGGTGAACGACCAGAACAGCAACCGCACCACCTGCGCCATGGACTTCAGCATCGTGACCATGAACCAGCGGCACGAGGACTTCTGGATCGCCGGTCTCAGCTTGTCCTCCTCCGCCCTGGGCTTCCTCCTGCCCTTCCTGGCCATGACCATCTTCTACTGCTTCATCGGCTGCACCGTCACGCGCCACTTCAACAACCTGCGCAAGGAGGACCAGAAGAAGAAGCGGCTGCTGAAGATCATCACCACCCTGGTGGTGGTGTTCGCCATCTGCTGGACGCCCTTCCACGTACTGAAGAGCATGGACTCCCTGTCCTACCTCAACCTGGCGCCCAACTCCTGCGGCTTCCTGCACTTCCTGCTGCTGGCCCACCCTTACGCCACCTGCCTGGCCTACGTCAACAGCTGCCTCAACCCGTTCCTCTACGCCTTCTTCGACCTGCGCTTCCGCTCCCAGTGCCTGTGCCTGCTCAACCTGAAGAAGGCCATGCACGGCCAGATGAGCTCCATGTCGTCCACGCTCAGCGCCCAGACTCAGAAGTCGGAGATCCATTCTCTGGCCACGAAGGTGTAACGGAGCGCGAGGGGACTGCCGGACGGTCGCGCCACCACCTGTGGACCACTTGTTAAAATACAGACTTTATGTGTTCATTGTTCAAAGGCGGTAAGATGAGATGCTGAACTTTGAACCGCCACCGCTCACAGTTGTGTGTGTGTGTGTGTGTGAAGCTGGAGGCAGCTGGCTGAGCTCCAGAGCTGTTGTTTTTTTTTGTTTTTTTTAACCCTGTAGAGAAAGGGTATATTTTTTGTGAGGGTGCGGTGCGAGGGTCTTCTCTCTGGGACCAGAACTCTGACTCTGACTCTCTGAGCTGAACTGTCACACGATTGGGTGAATATCTGTTTACACTGGACGAATTACAAAGCTGTACAGTATTTTCGTACTACGACACGTGTTTTTTTTTTTTTT